TTTTGCTTAATTCCTTCACCTTTTTCACACTGGGAAGTCTCTCTGATTCAGGAGCAAAGAACTTTCTTCTCTCTTAAAGACCAAGACAAATTAAGTATGTGGTTTCAGGAGGCTTTAAGGCTCCCATTGGAAAATCTAGAGAGAAACATCATAACTCATTGCAACTTTTCATTTAGAAAGAGATCTTGTGCCCAGAGCTCCCATCTCTGTGCCAGATCATCCCTGAAGAGCATAACCCAGCAACTCATCACTGCCCATCACCTGAGCACCTGGTGGTCTTTTCCTCTTGGTTCTGCAGTCTGGCCAAAATTGTCCTTTAGCTTCAGCTAAATACCCACTTCACAAAAATACATTCTCCTAATCATTATGATCTAATTCAACCTTTCTCTCAGTGTGGTCTCCTGATGAGCAGCTTTAGCATTGTCTGCAAAGTTGTTAGAAATGCAAACACCCTGGCCTTTCCACAGCCACTGAGGCAGAAACTCTACAAGTGGGAGCCAGCTAGGTGTTTCCAGCAAGTCCTCCATGGATTCTGATCCCACTTAACTCTGAGAACCTGTCCCATAAACGATCAATAAATTACCAGCCAACCATTATTATAGCCACTCACTATCCACACGTGCCCCCTTCAAACTTAATATCAACTAATCACTTACATCCATAATTAGTTTCTTGAGTTGCCTTCAGGACTGAATAACAATGTGTTTTTTTTAAATATCTAATTTTTACATATCTCAGTTTAAAAAAATACCTCAATGCAAAATCGGAAGTAGCTGTACTGCTTTGAAGCTGACTTTTGTACTAATGATGAAGGTGCCATTTTAAAAACCAGCATGAGACCAGTACCCGTGATAAATACAGAGCAGGTGCACCTGTGCTGTTACTTGAAAAAATATCTGTTTTAAGTATCCCTCTTAAAAGTGTTAAGTGACCAAAACCGTTCAATGAATGGACTGTGCAGCATTTGGGACCTGAAGAGTCATGAAAATGCTTTGTAGTGGGACAATCCTCCAAGACAGGAACACCATTTTTACCAACACACATTTGGGGTAGCAACTCAGACATTTCCCTTACCAGTGGATAACAGTTTATCCTAATTCTTATTTGTGGTGAAAATTAGCCACACTTCAACAAGGCAGATGTGTTAAATCAATTTTAGAAAGGCAATTTGCTGTGATGAGGTTGTTGAGTCAAAAAGAACATCAGGAAATTTATGCAAATATTTTTGGGAGTTTGCTCTGAGTATGCAAATGCCACATAGTTATCATGCTTTTCATGCAAAATTAAATTTCCTATAATAACAAATCACACTCAGGAATCAGGCTAGTTAACATGAAAAGGACACTCCTTTTTATGACTGAAAGGCTGCAAATTGAGGGTAAATTGCAGGTGAATCTAATTCCGGCCTCCATTATTGGCTTTCATTCAGGTCAAACAAAACCATGTTGGGGGGGGGATCCCCTGACTCCTGGGCAACACGTGCATGGATGCAAAAATCACAAGAAGTGGAAGCCACAGAGCCTCTGCTTTTGCTTTAGGTCGTCTCAGCTGTCATGGACCAGATGGAGTGTCTTTTAGCCTCTAATTATTTGGGAAGGACTCAGTGTTATCATTTATTATTTACCAGAAAAACAAAGCCAAACTTCTATTTTGGAATATCTCTGAAGTCTAGTTACTGCTCACTTCCTGCCTACCAGCCTGGAAAGAATTTGGACTTCTAGCATGCTGGCTCTCCCTGACTCACTCTACAGGCACTCCCACCACTAGTAGGTAGGCTCTGGACCTCCTATTGCTGGCAAAGTTCTGTGTCTGCTATCCTCTCTGGGAAATATGGGAATTCGGCTCTAAGTGCCTCCTGGCCACTTGAGCTTTAGCCCATCCTGTTTGCCCAGGGCCTGAGAGGTTTCTCAGGGTATGAAACTTTCAGTGCTAACCCTGGGGAAGCCGGGGACAAACTGAGACAAGTTGGTCACTCTACAGTGATCACACTTTCCTCTACTACTCCCAGACCATTCAGTTTCTCTAAAAAAAATGCTCCAAATTGCTCCTTGGGAGAAATTTAGAAAGGCAATTTAGTGTTAATGACCAAATCTAACTCTAGGAGGTGTTTCTGTTCATCTACTATCCACTAAAAAAGTTGATGCTTCTCCCAGTAAACCCAGTCGCTGACCCAGGCAGGTCTTGCTTAATCCCAGGTGGACTGCTCTGGAACCAAAGGCTCCCTCCTGGAGGGCTCACTCTCAGAGGGCTGCAGCCCTGGATCAGAGCCCCACAGATCAATCAGCAACACTGTACTGTGAGATCTATTCCTGCTCAGTACCCTTCAGTGGGCCAGCCCTGCCACCAGCTTAGACTCAGTTAAATACTTGGTTTCCATTTACTCTGTACCGATTCATTACTGAGGTCCCGTCTTTACTGCTTAAAATATACTTTGCTATCTCTTATCAGAAGTGAATGGTGTACTTTTGACCTTTCATGCCGTCTTTTATCAGACAATCACAAAGCACTGGGCATAATCCTGTCGCTACGGACTCTAGAGTAGCCAAGCACTTTGCCATATTAGTATTGAGTATATAATGACGGAAACAGATTTTAGTAGCATTTTTGGCAAAAAGAGGAAGCCAAAACAGTACTAAAGCTAGGAGGAAACTAGTATTTGAAAGCTACATTTATTTCTTAGGCAGATTTGATAAGAAGACAGACATGGCAGAATATTTTATAAAAAGAAAAGGGGGATGAATGATAGGAGGGCCAAGTCTGCCTGGTGTTGATACAGGGACGCATCTAGCTTCCCGTCGGGCTGGCTGTTAAAGGCACCTGACTTCTTTGGTTTCAATAGCTCAGTCACCTACCTTCTTGCTGCAGCCCAAACTTGACGATATAATGCTCCCTAACCACATACAGTGTCTTTAACATGTTCCCCCTCCACCCTACTTCAACCAAAAACAAACAAACAAAGAACAAAACTAGGACAGTAACCAGATCAAGTTCCAATTCCAGACCAATACCAATTTAATTCGCTCCAACTTAACAGTCCTACTGATGGGGAACTCGAGAAGTAAAAATCTTTTTGCTTTAATTATATAGTTAATAGGCTTGGTAATTAATGCACATCAAAAGCTATTGTTCAGGGACTGAGGTGTCTGATCGGACTTACGCTAATAACAGGACTGCCAGCCACCAAGATGGTATCTGAGCCACTGTGCCCCAGCTCGAGAAGGCCCACGCCCAGGATTCAGATAAAGAATCACTGGTCAGCAGAGGAAGGGATTCTCAGAAAATTACCAGACTGTAGCTTTTATCTGATTAAGCTTTTCTCTGAATTCCAAACCCTTTACCTACAATTTTCTTCTTATAAAAAAGGTCTGTTTGAAATGAGATGTAAGACAGTCTTTAGGGCACATAACCCACCGTCTTCTTGGATCACCAGCCATCTGAATAAAGCTCCCATGAAGATTCAATCCTTGTCTCTACTTACTGGTTCTGGTAGTGATGGGTAGCATGAATGCCCACTTTTCCGATTTCACTGCCTTCTCACCATTGACTATGACTATGCCTTGTCTTAGCCCAATATTAAAGCTAATTAACTAAATCTTAAATTGTGTTAGTTTACCCAAAAGCTGTTTCTGTAAATATTTCACATGTATCTGATTTTTATACATTAAATAGAATCAATTTTGTAAAGTGAATATCACCCTTCATCATTTTTGAACAGCCTGTTTTATATATACCAGGTTTGCTTAGCAGAAAGTCAATAGATTTGATTAAATAGGCATAGTCCTTCCAATCTGCAAAAACACCCATAGTTAAATCAACAGTTATTTCAGTACTCACTAGGCAAACGATACTCTGAGCCAGGATCGGGACCTAGGACATATACAAGCTGTATGGACCCTGACTCCTCTGCATCTCCATTTCCTCATTTATAGAATGAGGCTGTGGTTCCAGATCAGTGCTTAGCAAACGTTAGTAAGCATCAGAATCACTTAGAGGGCTTGATAAAAAACAGATTGCTGGGCCCCCGCCCCCAGAGTTTCTGATCGGGCAGACCTGGGGCAAGAACAGAGAATCTGCACTTCTAACAAGCTCACAGGTGAGTGAGATACTACTGGTCCAGGGACCACACTTTGTGACCACTAGACCAAATCTTCCATCTAGGCTCCAAGACCTCTATGATGAGTGTGGAAAGATTTCATTAATAGTCTTACATCTAGACCAGCTGCAAATAAGTATTCATTTATTTACCTATCCATCCATCTTTCCATCCATTCATTCAACAAACATTTGTTGAATGTTTGCTGCAAGTATGTCTTCAAATAGTTCCCAGTTTGGATAAAAATCTAATTTATGGGTATTTCACAATTCTCTTTAACTCCATTTTGGTGATCGTGTGAAAACAGTAAAAATAAGTTAAATCAGAAAAAAGTATGTAAAATTAGCAAGATAATTGTCTAGCACAAAGAAAAACCTCGGCAAACATCAGCTGCATGGATCACTGAAACAGACAATCCATGTATCATATCTCACTTCTCACATTTTTGTTACAGCTGCTAAAATGGGCAGAGCCAGCATAATTGTCTAGGGAATCTGAGAGTTAAATTAAACTTAATCATGTGTAGAGGCCCTGTGAACACAGGTTTTAAAATATAATAATAATAATGACAACAACAACATTCCTAATTATTTCCTACAAGACACAAGCCCGTCACTGATCTTAGCTTCTCTCTGCAAGAAGAGTTTGTCCCACCGAGAGCCTGGCATCAGCAATTTAAAATTACACCCAAAGAAACACCCAGAAACTCCTCCCGGAGTGGCACAAGTCACCTCAGCTGTGTGAGACAGATCCTGAGCTCCAGAAAGAAATCTTGATTTTCAGATCTGACTTCTAAAACTAACTGCCCCCACATACATCCTTTGACCCCATTAGGTTTCCAAGCTACAACCGAAGTCTGAAATTGCAACTTCAAGCAGAGGTCTGAACTGCATTAAATTTAACTTACCTATCCCTGTACAAACCCGAAGAGGATGAGGAGCACACCAGTCTCCTGTGTGAACATCAGCCCCCCTCCAGGGCCGCGCAAGGGAAGGGAAGCACCCCACTCTGGGAGGGTAGAGACCTGAATGACTTCTAAGTTTCTCTGAGATTATTTGAGACCGCAACACTGACTCACTGAGAAAATTGTTTAAAAATATTTACTTGGAATTCAACAAAAAATACTTTAAAGGATTCTGTCAGAGTAGGAAAGTCTGTTTCACAGCCGCTGAGTCAGACAGAACTGCCAGAAAGGCTCCTGGAAAATTTCCATGCTGTCACTTCCTCGCCTGCAGCCTGGAGGTGAGCGCAGAAGCCAGGCACACGGAGAAATCCCAGGGGTGCCTCAAAATTCCACTGGGGCTTCAAAACGAAGGCCCGAGTTTAGTCAAATAAGCAGAATGGTTACAGGACACCTGAGCCTCAGCCATAACCTAGGCAGAAGCAAAAGGAAATCCGTACTTTTAAGCACACGCCGTATGCTGAGCGCTTTCAGAATCCTTTCACTTATTCACTCAACAAACTCTGCTGAGCACGTGTTATATGTAGTGCGAGCAGCTACTGGATGTAATGGTGATGGGGACAGACAGGGCCCCTTCATCGCCGCCACACATAATCTTTACAACTACCTGGGAGGGAGAAGGCACTGTTATCGTAATTTTATAAACGAGAAACAGCAGCTTTAACATGTTAAGCCATTTTCCCAACGCGGCCCAGGCAGAGGCACTGGAACCAGGATGTCCTCGTGCCTCTAAAGCGTGGGCTCTAACCCGTGGGGAAGGGTGGATTCAAATGCTGGGTGAAAGTTAGACACCGCAGCTTGCAAAGAATGCGTTTATACAGCCTCTTGAGAGTCCACCTGGGCCTGACAGTAAGCTACTCTTCAGCAGAAACTCGCTTTGCTCCTGAGAATAGGACCTTTGAGATGACGTTGCCTGAGGATTTTCAGCCACCGCGGCTCCCTCTGTTACTTCCACTCTGCCCGTCCTGGGCTCCCGCAGGCCCAGCCCAGGCACCACTCTCTACTGGCCAGTGCAGGGGTGCCGCGCTGCTCAGTCACCAGCGGGCATGTGTGACTTCGAAGAGTGTGAAGCCCCCTTCTCTAGGGCCTCACGCCTCCTCTGCCTCGTGGTTCTAACCCCACTCCCAGGGTGGAGCCTGTGACCCGAATGCAGGGCAGTCGGCGGCAACCACAGGCTTCTGGAGGTGTCAGCTGGTTCGAGGGGGGCTCGGGGCCCGGCCGCAGGCGCTGAGGCTTTGCCGGAGCTGCTGTGTGAAGGGCACCTTCTCCTCCTGGAGCCCTGAGGCGGCAGCTTCAGCACTTGCTTAGCGATCAGCACCACCTGGAGCCGCCGCCGGGGCCTTGCCTACCACCTCCCCCTCAACAGGCCTGAAAGGTCCACTTTCATCCGATTTTACCAATGAAACGCTGCTGACTGCACACTACAGTCAGGGAAGGTGAAACCACCCAACGGATGTCACCACAGACCCAGGAATGAGGCTGCCTCCCAGCAGCGACAGTCAATAAAGAAATGCAATCTTCATATAATAAAAAAATACAAGCAGCTCTCTTTCTTGACTCCTTCTGGAGGGAGGCCTGCTCTAGGAATGGATGGCTCAGCATTTCTGACAGAGGAACAGCAGCTACGTAGAATACCCTCGATTAAAGAGCAGCAAAGCCTGCGACACAGCTGGTCAGATGGGGACACTGACAGCCAGAGCCCTGAAATAGCAGGTGATGGTTCTAACTTCCCTCAGAGACACTCTCCAGCTCTTCATTTTAAATACTTTACAGAAATCTGGAATTCTGAACATTATGACCTTAATAATGAAGAATCCTATCATTCTACACCTTGATCTTCATGGACCTCTACCCTGCCTCTAAGGACCTATCCGTGGGAGCCAGGGCATCACCCACAGTGGGATTTAATGGCTCATGATCCCTCATTACTCCTCCCGCCCAAAGTCTCCAAGATCTGGCTCTTAAGTTGAGTGCACAAACCCTAAGCCCCGGCATCTCCTGGGTGCTGGTTAGAAACGCAGCGTCTTAGGTCCCAGCTCAGATCTCCAGACTGTGAATCTGATCCTAAGGACCTCCCAGCTGCTAACACTGAAATCTAAACCCTGGCTACTCAGAATGTTTCCTAAACATACTTGATCATAAAATTCACCTGGGGAGCTTCTCAAAATTACCCATTTCTGGGCACAACCTCAAACCTTCTGAATCAGAGCCTACAGGAAAGACATGGAGGTTTGCCAGGCAACCAGTTGATTCTCAATGGCAGGCACACAGGAGAAACACAGGGAAAGGAATTTAGAATGCCAGGCTGTGCCCTCCGCTGCCAGCTCTTATCCTGCCTTTGGTCTTTAGCAGATGGAAACACTACTGCTCCCACCTGGGCTAGTTGGTTTTCCCTCCCCATAGCTTGCCACCAAGTGCTGCATGGTTAGCATCTGCAATTGTTGTGGGGGTGTTTTTTTGTTGTTGTTTGTTTGTTTGTTTTACCTTTCTTTTATATTGTTATGTGAGAAAGGACCTCAGAAGTTTTTAAATCTCATTTCTAGGCGAAGACATGTTAAGAGCCACAGCCCAGTGCCCAGCAGCATTGCTGTTTAAAGGTCTTAGTGTTTCCAAGAGTAATTGTAAAATCTTTTTTAAAATTATTTTTTATTGATTTTAGAGGAAGGCGAGGAAAGNAAGGGAACACTCACAGTTCCTTTGAAGGATATCTTTAAAATCAATGGTATAGGAGACCCACTGGCGAGTCAGGAAAGATTCTGTGAAACCCCAGATGCTGATATTCATGGACCTGGCTCCAGGTTCTGAAGCAAGGCCGGTAAAGTAGATGGGCTCCCTGGTGAACACGTAGGTTTGCCAGCACTGACCCTCGTCTGTGGAGAACCTGAAACCCCAATCAGAGAAAGATCATGACAGAGGATCAACATTTATCGGACTATCGGGAAATCACTCTGATGTTAGGTCCCAAACCAGAGAACCACCCTCATGATGGCTTACTGACAATTATATCAATTTTTAATGCATATAGTTAACAGGGTAAGAAAAGGGATTCATTCAGAGAGTATGGAAGAAAATATCTTTATAAAAATCCTTTCAGAGGAAAGATAATGACCCATGTAAGAATGTGCTTCCAAATCAACAAACAATTTTATATGAACTTTTACTTAAGGAGTCCTTCCCGATATGGAATGCTCAGACACTTGTATAATGTTCTTGTGGAGAGAAAGATTATTTTTAAAAGTGACAAAAAGTGTTAACTAGAGGGAGTCAGAGGTAAAAGCAAGCCATTTAACCTGAGTTGCCCTAAATGCAATCCCTTTAAGAACCTTCCCTACAGCTCTGCAGAATGCACAAATTTAAATCGGGGTCTGTAACCCCGCCCCTTCCCCAGCAAACTGAAACACTTCCCACAGTTGCCCTCTATGCAGAAAGTGTGGGTGGAGCTGAGCTCATGCATACTTAATCACATTGATAGGACGGCTGCTGTGCTCAATGGCCACAATGATGCCTCCGGAATCCAAGATGGTGTAATAGTGGGGTCCTTCCAGCATCTTTGTCCAGGAGTAACCCCCATCATCTGAGATGTACACGTCCGGGATCATTACTGAGATGGCATCCCCCACGCTACCTGCAACACAACCCACCGTCTCCTCAGCACAGATGAGCAATGAAACAGAGAGGACTTACTGCCAAGAGGCTAATTTTGAGAGAATTTATTCTGATTATTCCCCATCATGACTCTTATGATAGAAAAAGGCCACTGAAAATTTGGGAAAGGGGAAAGTCACATTACTCTGACTGGAGTCTATGAAATACCCAAAGTACCATTATCATGCAAGAAATTCTACAAAGGATGGTAAAAGCCATGTTTGTTGATTTTCTTTTAGGGTGAATAAAGTCTGAGTGTCAGTGTGTTCAAGTGCTTCTTCCCGAGGGGAGGGGAGGGGAGGGGAGGGAAATGTGAGAGAGAAACTTGAATCAGTTCTGGCCTTTTGCTGTTAAGGGCCAACGCACCAACCAACTGAGCCCCACCAACCAATTCAGCCTCACCGGCCAGGCTGAGAAAATGTAAATTCTTGATCCTGATTGCTCTGTAGGTTGTAGACCTAATATACTGATTGGTCTAAGTAAATAGCAATTTATTTTGAGGACTCTAAAAATGCAAAAAGTGTCATTAATGGGAAAAATGGATAGAAATGATAACGCTTTCATCTCTAGGGTGTGTATTAAGATTTTCTATATCTCTTAAAAAGTGGTAAATATATTCAATATAGTTGCCTAAATTTGTAGGGCCTTTCAAAAGTCCTTAATATTTTTCCTTTCTTATTCTTGGGTTCTTCATAAGACAATCAGGACATTCATACCTCATGGGCTCCTCCTGTGAAGTCTGCAAGAGAACATGTGGACGGTGTGCTTGCTGGGGGGAGGCCTTGTGCCACTGGAGACATTTTTGGTGGCTGTACCTGGAGGAGGAGGGCAATGGTCCTGGAAGCTAGGGGTAGAAGCCAGGGAGGCCGCTAGACATCTAGAAGGTTCAAGACTGTCCACACAACAAAGAATACTGAGTCCAAAATATCAACGGTGTTGAGGTTGAGGAACTGTGGTGCAGACCAGGTTGGTCCACAACCCCAGGCTCACTCTGATCACAGGTCTACTATTCCCTATCCCCAGCCAGCCCCGGGTTGTCTAGTTGCCAGAGCCAAGATCTGAACCACACCCCTCTACCTCCACGGCTGTGCTCTTCCCCTTCCAACACGCTGCCCCTCACTGCAGGGAGGCTACAGTAACCTCTCCACGTTGGCTTTCAGGGCTCCTGCAAACTGGGAAGCCTACGCGCAGTCCCAAAATTCATTAAGCCAGTTTCGGGTGGAAAACAGAGAATGGAGACTTGGGGAAACGGAGGTAGCTCAGTACACAGGAGCTTGGCATAGACTGGGATGGTTATCTATCTTGTTTAAACAGAGCAACTGAGCTCTTATGAGGATCAATATATTTCAAACTTAATATTTTTAAGAAGAAAAAATATTGTGACTCAAGGACAGAGGCAAAACTAGAAGTAAGCTAAAAGTGATTAACATTTTCTGACTTCTCTTGCCCTGAGATACAGCTTCTGGAGTCTCCATGGCCTGGGCAGTACTTGACCTATTTTGACAGCCAAAGTGTTAAATATTTAAGAGCATTAAATAATGAACACATAATAGAAACATGGGGGGAAAAATCAGACCCTATGAACTCAATTATGATGTGTTGGTAACAAGGAGTAAAAGCAGCCAACCCATCCAGTGAGGTCTACAGATCCGGATCTGTAGACCTCATTGGATGGGTTGGCTGCTTTTACTCCTTGTTACCAACACATCATAATTGAGTTCATAGGGTCTGATTTTTCCCCCCATGTTTCTATTATGTGTTCATTATTTAATGCTCTTAAATATTTAACACTTNCTAGATGTATGCCTTATGCTTAATTTAAAATGAACTTGCATTTCAATCCAGATGAGCAGTACTGAAACATCATTAAATGCTGGGAACTTTCATGGAAAGAAAAACTTACAGCAATCATAATATTAGACTTTTATTCCCCTAGGGTGTCCATAATCACAGGACAAATGATTGAATATACCCTTTATGTGGAAATGCCCTGTAGTTACTGTGAACCTCTTATTATAAAGAGAAAGTAAGGCAATAAAATGGAATGATTTTAAGGAAGCGTTTAGAGTTCCCTTTAACTGTTTCCTTTACGCACATAGATCAGCCATTGAATTTTTTCCATTAAACTTTCAGAAAGTGGAATCAAGTGTTTCACCACATTGTTGAAGAAGCACGGAAAGGGGGACACCTGGGCAGCCGAGACGGGGGTACGCTGAGCGAGCCGTCAGGGTTGCTTCTGCCTTCCTGTCCTGCCTCATCACTCCCTCCCACTTCTCTGTCCACAGGCCTGGGGATGGACAAACAGCAAGTGCGGGGCAGCCCAGTGACCCGTGGGCAGGGGCGGAGGGGCCCGGGCAGCACTTAGAAAGGAGAGAGAGTGCCAGATATGCCTCAGATACCCCACAGTTTTCCAGTTGACTTAGGAAAAGAAAATAATAGAGATGTACGCAGAGAGGCTCTAGGTGGAACTAACTCCTGAAGACACCATCCGTTTTAATAAGGAACAGCCAAGCCTTAAAGAGAAAAAGGAAATCACTCCAACAAAAGACAGAGGTGGAGGCGGGCAAGGCATCTGGAGAAGAGTGGAAGGGGGATGGGCTGAACAGCTGGCGTGACGTAAACCCACCCAGATTGTCAACATTCAGGTTAGATACGAGGGAGAATACTTGACAATGACCAATGACACATCAAATGACGACTCTGTTCATTAATTTATCCATCAAAGCTAATGCTGAGATAGACTGTGTGCATTTTGTAACTCCTGAATGTTCCAGAATTTTGGATATGCTAAAGAAGACAAAGAAGCCTGTTATGGGGTGAATTCTGTCCCTCCCACCACACATTCGTATGTTTAAGTCCTAACCCCCAGGATCTCAGAATGTAAATGTACTTGAAGACATGGCTTTTAAAGAGGTAATTAATATTAAATAATGTCTTTGGGTGGGATCTAATTCAATATGACTAATGTCCTTCTAAGAAGAGGAAATAAGGACATAGAAAGGCAGAAAGGAAAGACCATGGGAAGATATCAGGAAAAGATGGTCATCTACAAGCCGAGGAGAGAGGCCTAAGAATGAAGCCAACCCAGACAACACCTTGATCTTGAACTTCTGGCCTCCAGAACTATGAGAAAATAAATTTCTGTTCTTTAAGCCACCGAGTCTATGGGAGCTGGTACTCTGTTACGTAGCTGTAGCAAACTAACACAGACCCCTACACTCTGGACTCCAAATGTGCCGGAAAGGAGTGGCCACCCAATCCACTGCTCTGGCCAGCTTCATAAAATTACCTGGGAGTATTGAAATATGGATTCCTGGTCTTCTGATGGTGGGTTTGGGACAGGTCTGAGGAATCTGTGTTGTTTAAAGGTTCTCCAGTTATCCCTAAGCAGTAACCTTTGACCTGAGAGGGCCGTGGCTAAGATGCTGTGAAAAGTACAGAGAATGTCATACTGAGCATTATTTTCCAGATTTGGAAGGGAATGTGTGCAAGAAAACAAGAGGGTTTTTTTCTTTACTAAGTATATTAATAATTATTTTTTTAAAGGATGTGTTGTGTGTTGCCTTTTAAAAGTAAATTTGTGCCATATTATATCTATTAACACAAAGGAAAAATAGTTTGCAAGTCTCTTAATTATAACTTTAATGTATAACTTTCTGCATCATATAGTGTTAGAGATAAAAATATTGAGCTTATACCCTGTACCGTGCACATATATAAAGTTGTTTAATTCACATGCAGATGCACACATACTCACACCCTGCCCCCAATGTGGTATCTGCTATTATACTTATTTTATAGATGAAGAAACTCTGTGTGGATATGTGTACATAAGCACATGCATGTACATGTGTACATGTGATTAGTTTTAGGTAAAATAGAAATGAATCCTAATTGTCCTTGACTGATACCTTGAATTTTTTACACTATAATTAATATTCATGTGCTGTGCAGATTAACTCTTATCAGTTCCTGGGCTGAATATAAATATTTATACTCGTTCTCTTCTTTCTGCCTACAGGGTATTGAGGTGTAAGACACCTTTGTGGAGGGGGTAAAAGATGAACAGCAAACAATTGAAGGATTTCTCTACAGTTACATTAATGATTAAACAGCATCATCTGATGACTTGCTCAGCAACTCCCAGAAAATAAAACACAACTTAATCTGTCAATTAGCATTTTCACCTTCTTTCCCGACAGAGCTTAATGGCATCTGCAAAATGCAATTTCCAACCCCGAGCTCTTTGACATTTTCTATTTCCTCCCGCGTTTCTCTCCCGTTGCTCCCGTTATGACAGAGCAGCAGCGTGTCCTACTCCACGGAGGAAAATGCATCACCTGCCGCTGAAAGGAAAGCAATTATTGTGTCCTCACTAAATCTCAGGGACAACCTGGGGACTGCTTTTCCTTTTAGGTGGATAAACAGCCGACCCAGGATTGGTTTTAAGTGGCTGAACCTCGGTGACAGCAGCTGGGCTGCTGGTTGATGTCACCTGCGGTGCCCATTAAGGGTATGGAAAGCTGCAAGGCAAGGGTCCCCTTTCAGTAACTACCATGTGTCCCTCAAGAGAAGGTGTCCGCCACATTCCCACACACAGAGTGACAAACAATGGCTGGGAAGAGAACGTATTTTCTTTCCTTTCCTGCTCCCTGGGTTTGAGCACAGTGACCCAGTGACCCAGTGACCCTGGAGTGGAGGTCGGGCTGTCTCTGGGATGTTTTTCTAGCTCCTGGGAGTGGGTGCTACTTATACAATGGTCAGGAGTTACGTCTCTTTCTTTCCCAGGCAGCTGTTAGCTCATGTATGTGTCACATATGCATCAACTCCCATCTAATTCCACCTTCTTTGAATAGTCGACAGAGTTGATTCTGGGTGTGGAGAAAACGGTGCCCTCAGGGAAGTTCCGAGGGAGCGCTGCGCGTCACGGGGAGTCCTCACTGTTTCTGAGCTGGAGAGGCCAGCGCGCTGACAAACATGCTCAACGGAACGGTCCTCGGGAGGCACCTCCTAACGCACCCTCGCCTCTCCGTGCTAAAGGAATCGCCTCGAACACACTGTCAAGCACCAGAGGAAACACTCCAGCCTAAATAAACACAGCAAGCCTCCGTCAACCGGCATCCAATGACCCGATGCACCCAGTTCACCAGGATCAGGTTCAATACCCCCTTTTTAGAAAAAAGAATCAATACTCAAGAGCATAGTCTCATTTCAGT